TCCATGGATTTTTACCAAATATAGCTATTGATATAATTAAATGTGTAGAGCATCACTACGATTCTATAGAAGCTAACATTGTTACTTCTAACATGGTAATTAACATAGAATCATAAAGCAGATATCCTTTGTAGATAAAGACATTTTCTTGTTATTTTTTGGAGATGCATTATTCGTGACGCTAAGCCATCAGCAGCTTGCACAATATAGAGTTTTATGTTAACATCTTAACTGCATAAAATTGATTTTATTGCTGCAAAGCGTAGCCTTTCTATTTGTTATTCTTAATAATTTATGCCTTCGCTACTGATGAATTCTATTTCGATAATCTATTGCCTCCTGCTACATAGCCTTCATTAACATAAATGGATTCCAAGATTTTACTATTATCTGTCAGTTTATACTCCACAATTAATTTATAGATCAAACTTTTCTTCAGTAAAGTTCGTCGACTTCCTTCAACATTTATGATGCATGTTGATTTTCATGAACTGATCAGTTAGTGGCCATTGACTAAATAAGCTAGGATTTAAAATATCTAGTATCTGATATTACGCTAGCATCGCAAATGCTGCAGGATAGAGTGTTTTTAGATCGCTTATTAGAAATATGTAGCGCTTCTTCTTACTGTAACAGATAATTTCAGTTAAAAATGTCTCGCCTACGATAGTCACATTAAATCATACCAAATTTATTAGCAAAGGTAACAGTTTGATTACTGTAGAGCAAATGATCAACTGGTTTAAAGGAAACTTAAGAACTTCTTACTACTTATAATATTTCACGGATTATTCAGAATTTGTATCCTGGTAATCTGTAGTTATTGCAGAGCTTGAAAAACTTAGGTTAAATTTAATTTTACAACATAAAAATAAAAATTATTACAAAGAATATTATTAATTACGATTTCATTCTTTGCAGTAAACATGCCATACGCCTCGTACGCGTAGAACAATTGTTAGTATGTTTTTGTAGAAATCCTAATCTTGCTAGAATAAGCTAACATCAAAACTATTCAGAACAATAACTAATGAACTAATCTAATATTACTGATACTTTACGCATAGATAGCGTGAGTATTTATAGATTTCTGATTTAATAGACAGACAGGTTAGACGTGTTATTTACTATAATGAAATATATTTTTTAAGTTCAGATATTACTCCGGCTCTGATTTGTTTATCAAATTTTATGTAACTTAGTGGATTGAGAAAGTGTATCGATAACACGAGACCTGCTTATCAAAACATTTATTACAAACAGATAAATATTGTCAGGTGAAAAGCGAATGATAGAATGCTGATATAGCAGATATAAAGTTAATTACAAAATGGGAAAAGCTTATGAGTATATAACAGAAGGTTATATAAATTAACATTCTAATAAATTTTCTTCTCTTTGTAAAGTCTTCATTGAGCTGTTCTAATGTCCAAAAGCCAGGTCGAACATAATCCTTCAGATAAATTAAAATCCTTGCATAAGACAAGACAATCGCTGTAGTTCGGATTACGTATGAAATAACTGACCAATGAATCAGATATACTGATTCACTAAGCCTATTTCTGGAACATCACATATTGTAGGAAAATCTGGGAAAGAAGACAAATACATTAACATTGGAGATGTTGCAGATATTGATACTAGCCAAATGAGAATTTCAGTTATAATTAGAAATTTTCGTTTGTGATTTCGATAAAATGGCGACAACAGTCTTACAACAACAAAATAAAGATCTACAGCGACTAATGCTAAATTCATGATGGAAATTGCATGTGATGTAAATAATATCGATATACCGACACGACATAGACTAGAATCCCCGGCGAAATCTAATGTACCAAAGGTAAATATATTAAATATGCTCATGGCTGTACTTGCTGAGATAGTATCTGATATAAATGACTTTCAAATCAAGCGATAGGTTGTCTTTTGGAATCTTTTGTCGTTAACTAGTAGTTTAAGTATGAATATATTAAAAATTAATCCAGTTACGCGTGTCGGAATAAAAATTGCTGTAGCATAGTAATAAATCTCTTTAAAAGGCGGTGGAAATACGTTTGTCGAATTGGAGATATTTATTTCGTCGGTAATGAAAACAATGGATCGAGAGATAGTTACTATATTTGCTGACTAGATAATACCTGGTTTGAAAATAAATTTTCGAATAAAAATCTGAATGTAATTACCGAATAGAAGAGAAAAAGTATAACCAGCGTCTGGACTTATCTTAGATAATCACGTATGATATAAAGAGCTAGTACTGTTACTCAATAAAAGAAAATAAGTGTAATAATTAATTTACCTTATAATTCTACTATAAAGTATATCACTTCCTGTACTGTATAATGTACAGGAATCTTTAAGCTATTCAATAGGGCTTAAAATGATAAAGGAGATAGAAGTACAGTAAAAATTAATTATTTTTCATCATTATTCAACGCAACTTTTTCCGAAACGGCGATTGTTGACTTTTTGTTTTATAAAAATAGCCCTTACAATTCACTTTCTTGCATATTATTTCAGAAGCAAACTATGGACAAATATGGCTATTAAATAATTAATCGAATATAATATTATGTCTAGCACTAAATCTTACTTCTTCACTTAAAATTAACAACTTTTTAAGAATAAGAAATACTTGATAATACATTTCCTATTTCGAAGGCTAAATTAGCTAAACTCACTTCGAAAACAATAAAATCCGATTATTATATTTTGTTATACTGTGTAACAACGTGACAATAATGATCATCTAGGGCTGATCATAAAATTTAGAGTGACTTTTCGTATATAGAAATAGCTTCTTCAAGTTTGCCTGGCTCTCTATACACAGTATCAATGTAATTAAGTGATTACACAATGTAAGAGTAATTGTGAATTGTGAACAAATATTGATAATTGAATATTGGGCGACTTCTTAATTAAAATAAGCAGACTTTATATATTTGCCTTGACAAACAATAGACTAAGAAATTGGAATGGAATTTTACTGAATATTATCTAACATTGGCGACTATCAAATATTGCACCTATATTAAAAATTAATCATTGATACAGGTCATAATTATTTCATAACAAAATTAAATCCGCGTAACAAAGAAAATTGTAAAACTACTCTATACAATATATATGAACGAGGCCGGACGGTCATTTTGCAAAATACCTTGTATAATACAATTATGGTAGATAGCACTATTTCTTAAACAGAAATACGTGTTTTATGCTTATTTTGATTCCTATCACGACTGCAACTTAAACTAATAATCTC